GATTATGATTTTTAAAATCCTATTAGCTGAAAAGTAAATATAGCAAATTCTAAAGTTTACACTCATGCTGCTTGTTTCAAGCCCAGAGCTATGAGCTATGAGACTGACTCTCACAAAGGGAATTAGATAAAGGTCAAATAAGGAAAACAAGAAAAATTGGTACTTAATGAATATATTTCTACATCCCAGGCAGAGCTCTGGTTTTAAGCACTTCTTGATGCTCTCAGTGAGAATCGGGTATAATCAGGACACAATGTGGTGTATGTATATATCTCCTTAGGCTTATTTTAATGGAATCTGACCTGTTTTACATGTGAGTAAACAGCATGTCACAGACAGTCAACTTTTCAATTGTTCACGAAGGCATTTATTTGCCTATGTGGACCTAAATTCTTCATGGGTATATATGGAGTAATACTATTTTTTTTTTTTTTCCATTGTAACCAATGTCTCCAGATTGTTCTCCTTATCTTTATGGTTGTAACAAGATACGGAAAGTATATGACACTGGGTTTTTGTGACAGTCTCGAAAATCTTTCTGAGAAACCCTTCCTGCCCCTTGTCTCTGTATGGTTCAGAGGCCCCTTGTGGCCCAACACAGTAGGCCAGTATGAGTCATTTTTCTCAGTTCTTTACTGTTCATTATTTCAATGCACCTTCAGTTGTTCCTAATTGTTATTTGTTAGGTCAGCTGGTATTTTCTAATTATAATTTTATAATAGTTTTCTGATTATAAAAGTGTCATTTACTCATTATAGAAAGATTAGAAAGAATGAAAATAACTAATATTAATACCCATGTCACTTTTAGTCCCTTTTTACCTAAAAATATTTTATGTATGTTTTTTAAATATTTACTTTGAAAAATTAAGTTATATGGGTATATACAATTGCAGACACATATATATATATATATATACACACACACATACATGTAATCTTACCCTATTTTTTCCATTTAACATTGTATAATAATTTTTTATATAATTAAAAATTATCTTCATTTCTATTTTACATTTTATAACATTTTATTTTAAAATAAAATAATTTACACATTTTGCTTACTTTGATGAACATACAATTATTTCACATATTTTAGAATCAGAAAGTGCAAAAGTACATGTGATGAAAGCCTTTCTTTTACCTTTCCACCTTTCCACTTCTATTTCTGGGGAAAACCAATTTTAACCATTTCTATGTGCATTTCCAGACATAATGCTATGCAAAACATCCACATCCCCTTACAAGTTATAGTACTTTATACTGTTTGCTACATAACATATTTTACTTAAGAATATGTCATGTGGGTTTTTTCACATAAATGCATCAAAAATCCTTTTTTTCATATGCCAAATAATATGTTGGTGTATGGATGTGTTGTCATTTGTTTTACTTGGCTTTTACCAATGTATATTTAGGTAATTTACAAGATTTTGCTATTAAAAACTCATTGCAAAAGATCAATTCCTGGAACTGGAATTGCTAGGTCAAATGATATATGCAGTTTAAGATGTGATAGGCAACCAAAAAAACAAAAAACCAAGGTCCAGGGATATAGCTCAGCAGCACAATGCCTGCCTGGCAAGTGTAAGGTTGTGAGTTCAATTCCTGGTACCAAAAAAAAAAGATGTGATAGATGTCCCAAATACCTAGAATATGGCACTAGATCTTCAGTAAGTCTTGTCTTTCCTTTTGTTTTTCTGTTTTCTTTTCTTGTAATGGTTGAGATCAAACCTAGCGCCTTTTGCTAGGCAAGTACTCTGCTATGAGCTATACGCCCCTGCCCACTCTAAATATTTGTTAAATGAAAGAGTGAGTCTGTAGATTGTTCTCATAGGTTGTGTCAATTTACATTCCTGCTGACAGAGTAGGAGTAAAATCTCATACTCCTATGTCCTTGTCAACACAGTTTTGAAATTCCATCTTAACTCAGAAGGAATAGCCATCATTAAGGAATCAAACAATAGCAAATACTGGTGTGTTGGTTACTTTTCTCTCATTGCTGAGACAAAATACCCGATGCCCAAAATTAAGGAAGCGGGCTGGGGATATAGCTCAGTGGCACAAGTGCCTGCCTGACAAGTGCAAGATCCTGAATTATATTCCCAGTACTAAAAAAAAAAAAAAAAATTAAGGAAGGAAAAGTTTATTTAGCTCACAGTTTGTGGAGGTTTCAGTCCATAAGCCGCTGGTTTCAAGGCAGAGTGGCATGGCACAGGGGCAATACTTTAAGGCAGCAGACAGCAGCAAAAGTAATAAGAGCAAAAGCGGGGAGAGCAAGTCTGTTTTACTCCTTTATGTTATAAATAGGCTACAACCCCCTAGGGTGGGTGTAGCACTCACACTGTCTCAGTGCCCTTCTCTTGAACAGGATGAGGATATTTACAAAGTGAGGACCCTGGACCTTGCAGAGTTGCTTATTATACTTCTAAACTTCTCAAGTTGACACAGTGTATCAACCATTACAACTGGCAAAGCTGCAAGGAACAAAGGAGCCTTGCTTCTTTGTTGGTAGGAATGTAAACTAGTACAGCCACTATGGAAGTCCATATGGAGATTCCTCAAAAACCTAAAACTAGAAATTCATTTGACCCAGGGATTCTCTTATGGGTGTCTTCTCAGAAGGGTTACAGACATCCATGCATGCATGCCCATGTTTATAGCAGCAAAATTCATAATAGTTTAATCTTGGAAGTGGCCTATAAATGAATAGATAAACAAAATATACACATGGCACACATTGTGCCATAGAGAAGGATAAACTTGAATGATTTGTAGGAAAATGGATGTACCTTGAAACCATAATGTTAAGTGAAATAAGTGATAATTTTATGTTATATAAATAAAATTTATATAACAAATTTTTAATAAGTCTTAACGTAAATATTCTCCCATTTTGGAGCATTTAAATTATTTGCAGATTTTTCTGTACTATATTATGATGCTGTGATGAATAATTCTGTGTATAAATGTTACAATCACCTACCTTAACATAAAATTTTGGAGTCCCCAAGGATAAATTATGTTACAACTTTTTATATATATTCCCAAATTACTTTTCAGAAAGGTTATGCCATTTGATATTCCTATCAGAAGTATGTGGTTGTATACATGGTGGCTGGCTTACTGCTATAATCTCAGCACTCTAGGAGGTTGAGGCAGTAAGATTACAAGTCCAAGCCCAACCTGGGCAATTTAGCAGATGTAGTGAGACATTTTCTCAAAAATAAAAAAATAGGGTCGGGGATATGGTTCAGGGTGAAGACCCTTGTTTCAATTCCTAGTACCACCAGGGAGAAAGAGAGAGAAAGAGAAGAGAGGAGGGAAGAAGGTAGAGAGAGAGAGGCAAATGTCTTAGTTGTGGTATTGTAGCTTATCATTTTATTATGATTTTTAAAAATAATAATAAATATTCATTCTATATTTGCCAAGTACCTCTGAGTATTTTTAAATGAGATTTGGTTTCAAGACTGCTCAAGTTTTTTTCTGAGATTTTTGTTTGTTTGTTTGGTTTGGTTTTTTTCCGGTAAAGGGAATCGAACTCACGACCTTGTGCTTGCCAGGCAGGCACTGTGCCGCTGAGCTAAATCCCCAGCCTCTCAAGTTTTTTTCTGGGTGCAACTTTAAGAATTCTGATTCACTGTAGGATAGCTTCTTTTTTGTTAGGTCTAATCTAAGGACCTTATGTTGGTTCTGGTAGGCCTGGTGTTTTCCAGTCATCCTGAAATAGACTTAGATTGCCATCAGTTTCTTCTGCGTTTGTAGAGACCTATTATGATCAAAGTTTAATTGCCTCATGTCTCTATACATGAAGATAGACAGTGGAAGGCGAGTTTGACAGATCCCAGAAGGTGACAGGTGAATGAATGATAGGTGAATGGTGACGGGAATGCATCCTATTAACTACTGTTTGTTAAACTTACAAACTTTGGCTAATGTCTCTGAGGCTAAGGATCTCTTGAACATCATCCTTGTAGGGGCATTAGAGTTGTGTTTATAACCAATGAGTTTCTGGCATCTTTAACTATATGTATTTTAGTGATGACTTCTGTGTCTTAAAGGACTATACTTTTTCTGCTTTTTAACTTTGTTTTGTTTTGTTTTAATGTAGATAAACAACCACATGGCACACATTTACATACAAATGCTTTTAAGTTTATAGGTATCTGAACCTTGGAGGTTAAGTGATTATTGTTTTTTGCTGTAGAGTTCTAATATTGCTTTGTTGTATTTAATGTGCATTTCCCCCTGGGACAGCAGTGTGTATGACGGAGGAAGCAGTCATGGACGAGGTAGTGTGCTGGAAAAGGGCTTGATGCTGATTATCGCTGTGTCTTAGCTTTCAACCTCAATTCCTCATTAGTAAATAGGGGTGATAATAATATCTTCCTAATGGGGTTGTTGTGAGGCTTAGTTGAGATAACAGATGTAAAATGACAAGCTTAGATGGTGGCCAATAGCTGTTATTTAATAAATGTTAACAAAGAATTGCAACAAGTAGACTGTGGGGGATCATTTTGAATTACAGACTGTCATTGAGGGAACCACTTAAAAATTATTATTTGTAGAATCAGTAACATCTTGCCAAATTGAGGGCTTATACATTTAGAAGAATGAATAGATTAAATTATTTAATTAAAACATTTTTTAAAAGATTCATTTTTTAAACATTTTTTAAAAGATTCATTTTCTAATGTAGGTCAACATTCATATTTGTTTATGATGTTGTAAGTCTTCAAATCTGAAGTAGTATAAAGGTAATTTACTTAATAGGGCATATTACATATTTGAAAGAAAGAATATTTCAAAAGTTGTATATGAAAGTACTTTATAATGTCATGGGTACCTTTTTCCTCTTCAAGTGTATTTCTTATGCATAAGCTCATAAAGTTTGTAGCTATGAAAGAAACGCAAAATTAAAAACTTGTGATATTATTTTAGTAGTAATCTCTTTTCAGAAGTACTTTTCTTACCTTTGCTTTGTATCCTTCATTTTTTCAGGAGCTGACCAGTGCTTTGGTGCATTTAAAACTGCATCTTTTTATTCAGATCTTTACACTTGCATTCTTCCCAGCAGCAGTATGGCTCTTTCTTCAGCTTTTATCAATCACATCCATCAATGAATGGCTTTTGAAAGGGTACGTTTAAATCTTTTGAAAAGTGTACTTTTAATGGGGCATTTCTAGTAACGTTATTGCTTCTATGGCAATTCCTTACAAAAGGGCTTATGTGTGGCATCTTATAAGGAAAGAAAAACTCTTGTAACATTATTCTTTAACACTTCAGTAAAAGAGTGATCAAAGAATTGCTTAACAGAATCTTAAAATACACCCCCATACTTACTCTTATATTTAATTAAGGTAAGTCCTGCTAATTTTTTTGTGAAATATTTATTTTTTAATGTAGATAAACACTCATATTTGCTTATGGTGTCAACAGTCTTCAAATAGTTAGCTTATCGCATGTGGTCCAGAATTTTATAAATCTGAATTTGAGAGAAGTCTAGGATGTCTAGGATAGATACTTTTCTGGGAATTTTAAAGAGGAGAAAAGTGTAATAGATGATATACTATCTATATATGTATATAATGTATGGTGTCCATTGGATGCTTTAACTCTCTGTTTTATGTTTCAACAAATATATACAGATAATGGCTATGTGTAGTATATATTTTTTAAAATGTCATATATTTTAAAGAAAATTATATACGTAGAATATTTACATTTTTACTTGTTTTGTGTTATATTTGATATAGTTGAATTAGCAGTAGATTTTATTAGAATCTTTGCTTTCATTAAACATGTTTTCACTTTAAATAAAAATAATTTAACAATAAAAATGATTTAAAATGAATCACATTTTAGCATCATGGTATAACAGCTAAAACACTGAACTTCAAAGCCAAAGATTGAGTTGTGCCCCTAACCCTAACATGCTGTGTGACTTTCAGCAAAATTACTTAATAATTTTGAATCTCAGTTTTCCTGTCTATGATAATCCTACTCTTACTTACTGCTTAATAATGGTGTTAGAGCATTTGCGGTCACTCATTCATTTATTTAAGTCACCTATTTAGCTCCTACTATGTGCCAGCAAATATTATGAGTGTTAGAGAAACAATGACCAAAACTGGCATTGTGCCATTTCTTTTTGCCTAATTATCGATAAACAATAAATAGGTGAGCAAGACAGAGATAAGTGATGGAGAAGAGTAAAACAGCTGGATATGATTGAAGATGTTCAGATGGGCAGACTGGTGATTAAATTGCAGAGTTTTCAGGGAAGAATGACCTAAACAAAGGAAAAGCTATACAAAGTCTCGAAAGCAGAAATAAGCCTGGTGTGTTTTCGGGTCAGTAAGCAGCTATACTTACTAGCATGGTCAGCCCCTAGTGATATGAAAAGACAATAGGATTTGGGTGTGGCAAGGTGGGCAGGGGCCAGGTACATAGAGCTTTGTTGACCGTGGTAAAGGATCCAGATTTTGTTCTGAGTGCTACAGAAAATCATTGGAGGACTGAAATGAGGGAGTGCTGTGGTCTGCTTTCCATTTGCAGGTGATTCTTCTGGCTGCTGTGTAGAGAGTATATAGCAGAGGAAGCCAAGCGAAAGCTAGGGGACCAGCATGGAGACTGGAGGGGAATGGTAGTAGTGCACTAAAGAGAAGTGAGTGTGTGCAGGAGGAATTTTAACATTAGAGTTCTCTAAATTTGGTGGGTGTACAATGAGGACAGAGTAACTTCTAGGCTTCAGGTATGAGACACTGGGTAGTTGACTGTCACTTACTTACCTGGGTAGAAACAGCTTAGGAGTAGAGGAGCAAATCAAGAGTCCCATTTTGGTTAGAATTTGAGGGAATGAGCATCACATTTTACCAAAAGGTATAAAAGTCCCATAAATAAAATGACATCTTTTGGAGCAACAGTGGATTTATGTGTATGCAGAATCAGTAGTTACTGAGTATCTACCCCATGTCTGGCACTCAAGGACTAGGAAGATATTAATTCAGTTTCCTCTTCTTTAGGGATCTTCTAAACTAGTTGAATACATACATGGATAGATAGTAAACGACCTCAATATGTGGCATGTACTTTGTCAAATGAATAGTGTCATTCATTAAAAGATAAATGTCTCAGCAAGGGTTATGTACATCTAAAAATAAGGCGCTAGTGGGAAACAGAGATAAAATGTTTCTTTAGGGCCAGCTCAGTAAAGGCCTGAACTGTTTGCTTGAGGAATTTGGCCCTGAACCTGTAGGTGAGGCAGAGTTCTTAAAAGTGCTCTAACAAAAGAAAAAAATTGCTCAAAAGTGGTCATTAAGGAAGGTGAATCTGATAGCATTGTGCCATCTTGTTATCAGAAAGGTAGCACAGTATGCTAACCAAAGCAATGTATAGTTCTCACCCTGCGATGTTAAATTTAAGGGAGTATTCACTTGGCCTGCTTCATTTAGAGAAAGCTCATCCCAGCTCACTCTTTCTCCCTTCCCTTCCCCAGTTTGAAAGTACACACAGAGTAAACTGGAGGGAGTTGCAAACTCTCACCGAAGGGTCATGTTGAAGTAGAGCTATTCTAAGTACATTCTCCTTACTCTGCCATGTTAAAGGGACAGGGTAGAGGTAGAGCCCATTTATCACATTTGCCAGTGTCTAGATTTAGGTGGAAAACACCTGAACAGGGATGGTGGCAGCAGTCATGGAGAAGAATGGGAAGTTGGTGGTGACGACTAGTTGATTTCTGAGGAGCAAGTGGAATCACATTCAACTAGAGTTTCAAATTGTATCATTCGGTGAAAACTGGTTCCTCTGATAAATTCAGACAGGAAACTTTTTTTTAAAGAAAATACATAAATTCATATATAAAACATTCCTGAGAGAGGACTTAAATATTCTTACCACACACAGAGACAACTATGTCAGCTCATGGAAAAAGTAATTAGCTTGATTGTGGTAATCATTTCAGAATGTATACATAGAACAACATATCATATTTTACATTGATCAACATGTCATATTTTACACCCTAAGTAAATACAATTTTATTTTGTGACTTATACCTCAGTAAAGCTGAAGAAAATAAATGAATTTAATATTACACATGTTTAGTTTGAAAGGAGAGCCCAGGGAGCTACAAATTCAGTGATAGTACTTAGTGCTAGACACGTAAATTGGGGAGTATTTTTACAGATTGGAAGAAGAAAGACAGGTTTAAAAGACTGGAGATAAATCAGAATGATGAAGTGAGATGGTAACCAAGAATATAGAGCGTCCTGGGAATGTAAGAGTAAATATAGGGAGAAGGACATTGGATTTGGTGTTTTGAAGATCACTGGTTAGTTTTAAGCTCAGGACTCATACTAGGAGAAGGAGCAGAGAATCGGTTCTGGAGAATTAAGAGAATGAACTGTGAGGGCATGGAGGTAGAGTACTTTTTTAAAAGGTCAACTCTGAATTACAGTGAAAAAAGTAGGATTGTTTCTTGAGGTGACAACACTGCCAGGTGACAACACTGCCAGGTGACAACACTGCTAGTTATCCATATTTGTATACTGAATCTTCTAGAAGGCAAGAATAATGTCTTACCCATTTTTTATACCCTCATGTAGTATTCTCCCCCAAAGAAACCCATATAGTTTCAACATACAGTTTTTTATAAGGTAATTTTTATATAAGATAGGGAGACTTCAGCCTCATTGCATATAAAAAGGAAGGGGCCAGAAAAGGGACATATTGAATAAGCTAGAAAAGTTGAAAATACCTGCCACAGCTTGTCCTTAACATTTGTGGCTGGGGATATGCAAAGCAGAGGCCTGAGGAGACCCAGATAAACCTTTGGCCCTCACTGCCAGATTAAAGTGTAACCCAGGGGAGCTGGCTGTGTGAGTTTGGGTAAATTACTTAACTTCTCACTGAACTTCAGTTTTCATTAAAGTGGGAATAATAGTAATATTTATTTAAAATACTTGAGGAATAAGGGGAAAGCATGTAAAATGTCTAGCGTGGTGTCTACTACAGGTGGTAAATGCTCAGGATCAGTGATGATATTGGACCCTAAGGAAGGCTTAGAGATTGAAAATTTATAATACAACAGAACACATCGTGTCTACTTAGGAAAATAGGGACCTTAAAAGATGACAAAGCTGGGAACAGGGGTAGTACTTTCTACTCAGGAGACCAAATCAGGAGGATTGCTGTAGCCCAAGAATTTTAGATCAGCCTGGGCAACTACGCAGACTGCATCTCTAAAAATAAAATAATAATAAGAAAAGATCATGTTGAATTGAATGAGCTGACAGTTCTATCAACTGTTTTCTCGTATTTTAATTGAAATGAATTGAAACATTTTTATTTTTTTCGTATTTCAGAGGCAATATAATTTTTTACATACAGTTTAAACAATACATTCTTACAAGAATGAGTAAAAGTGACCTGTAACCATACCCATTCAGAATCTGTTTACATCAGATGGTCTGTGTGTTCTATTTTGACTATGAACTTTCCACATAGACTGGCTGTTTGTTCTTCCCAGAAGAATATTCTATATGATTTCTCAGTAATTTTTTTAAAGTTTTAGTAGTTAGATTTACTACTCACTTTCCTATCAGGCAGTTTATTTTGTGTTATAAACTAAGAATAGTTTTATGATCTTGGAGTATAATATAAACATCATTTCCTATAAACCAGATTTAAAATAGATACTAGATAGAGTTTACTACAAAATTGGAATAAGTATATGATTGTGTCCTTTTTGTTTCTAGAATTACATTACAACCTGAAAATGTCTTTTATGAGATGAATGTTTGAGAGTTGTTTTATAGAAAGAAATTGAAAATGTAAGCTTATACTTTGTTAAATGTTGTTGACTTTTGGGTGTGGTTTAGAGCTTTAATTTTTACAACAAGGCTTTTGACAAAAATATCAGGAAAAATTCTACTTTACCTGAAAATAACCTAAGATGAGCTATACACACCCAATGATTGACCATTTTTGGTATTTTTCCAGGATTGAACTCTCTATAACTTCACTAAAATAAACTCAGTCTGTGGAAAGTAGTGAGAGTGCAGAGCCTGTGCATCTGTCACATCTTTTAAGCCATGTTGCCTCACATAAAATTGTCTAAACTCAACAGGGAATGTGCATCAATAAACATTTCCCTGTTTTTATGTGCTCAGTTCTGCTGTTTTAGAATGAATGTAGTGGAAGCTATTTATAACTGGGACAAAATATTTACAGTTGGATTTTCTTTTATTTTTCAGTTTGCAGACAGTAGGTTGCATGCCTCCCCCTGTGTCTTCTGCAGTGATTTTAACCAAGGCAGTTGGTGGAAATGAGGTGAGTCTTGGGGGCTGACTTGATTTAAACATAAATACATGCTGTGCTTTTACTTTGTTCCAAACTGTGTTTTGGACATAAAGGAGTTGTACTGCAGAGAACTCATAACTGTAGCAGCTTGTGAAAGAAGAGGTTGTATTCACCTCTTACGATGATGCTGAAATTGATGATGATGCTAAAATTGATGGTGGAATTTAGGATTTCAGATGGAAGAGCAGGGGGATGAATGAAGTAGAGAGAATGATTTTGCTACCCCAGGGGGAAGTCGGGAAACAATGGACAGAGGAGTCCAAGGAAAGAAACTTTTTGTGTGAGACAAATAGGCTGAGGATATTCACTATGGCCATTTCTTAGTTCCTAAAAAAATTCATAATAAACTAAGTTGGTTGGAAAGGTTCTGAATGTTTAGTGGCAATTAAAGATGACATAAGGGATAAATTGGGACAGCTTTCTAAATCAGTTCAAAGAAGTTATCCAATTGCTAGTGATATGGCAAGTAAGTTTAGTGAGACAGGCACTCACAAGAAAACCGAAAAGGCAGGAATGAACAAAGCTTTATTGAGCCAGCTGATGGACAGTCTCTAACCAGGAGCCAGAGAAGATGTCCATGCCAGTCTGGGTCTCACCTTTGCTTTAAGTACATTTTTAGGTTTCCATAGTAACCATTACCTCATTTTTGGGAATCTTGTAAGAATGTCACATAATTATCACAAAGTTTACCTCTCCCAGAGGCTGTCAGACAGCCAGCTGCAAGGTGACATTTGCAGTTTAACTTTTAGCCTACTTACCAGTTTGTCCTATTTGTTCTATTCCCATTTTATGACTCTGTTCTCCCCCGTTCAACCCTTTAAATGGGTTGATAACTAACCAAGGGGAGGAAGTGACGAGTGGGGTCCACTACAGCTTAAGTGAAAAAAAAAAAAAAAACCCAAACCAAAGCTTAAGTGAACTTAAGTGATTTCTCTTAATATGGAGTTAAAAAAAGAAAATGGAATCTCTCTTGTTCTATCACTAGGGGACTTCAGCAAAAGAATTGTGATTATATATTAAAGATGCATTTGTGCATTTCAGAAGCTATGGTATTTATTGATGGGTCTTCTTTGGTTGAAAAGTGCTATGACTTTGTTTTGAGGAACTTTTCTTAGTGATAGGTATCCCACCTTCTTCCTTGTGTTTCCCGTATAGAAAAGAATGCTCTGAAGGAAGATAGAATGGGCCCCCATTTCAGTTCCATCTTAGCATGCTGCTACGTGTCTGTTTTAACTTTCAGCCATTTTATTCTTTTCAAAAATATTAGTCATTAGTTATAGTCTTTTCTAAAACAAATCTTGTTGTAATAATCCCATACATGCAATAATTTGCAGATATTTAAATGATTTAATGTTTTGTGAAACCATCACCACACTCCATTTTGCGTTGGTCTAATAGAGTACATGAACCTGGGCAATTTATGGGGAGCAGAGACTGATTTCTCACAGTGTCAGGGGTCTGCATTGAGGGAAGGTCTTCTTGCAGCCTCCAGTGGTAGAAACAGAGGGTAAATTAGAGTCTGGAAGAAAACGCAAGAGATTGACCTTGCAGCCTCAAGCCCTCTTATAATTGGCATTAATCCATTCTTGATGGTTGAGCCCTCATGACCTAAATACCTCCCATTAGGCTCCACCTCCCAGTACTGTCACCTTAGAAATTCAGTCTCCAACATATGAGTTTTGGGCCTTCTGTTCACCTTCTATTCTGTTTTGCTTTTTGAGGTGAGGTTTTACTATGTTGTCCAGACTGGCCTCCAACTCCCGAGCTCAGTTGATCCTCCTGCCTTAGACTCTCATGCAGCTGGTACTGTAGGTGTGTATCACTGTACCTGGCCTAGGAGACATCTTCAAAACATAGCACCCTCAAAAGTTTTCTGTGTCTCTGAGATTCCTCCTGCCCTTCTCAGCACCCCTCTTCCCCAGTGCATTTATTTTCCATCACTATAGATTAGTTTGTATTTTCTAGAGTTTTGTATAATAGAATCATACTGTGTATACTATTTTGTGTTTGTTTTTTTCTGTTTTCTTTTACTTAGCACGAGTCTTTTGAAATTCATCTATGCCTTTATCAGTAGTTCAGACCTTTTTATTGCTGAAGAGTAGTACTTTGTATTGATAGACTACAAATTATCCATTCACCTGTTGATGGCCTTTTGAGCATTTTGTAGAGCTTAACTATAAATATCCATGTACAAATCAGTAGACATATACTTTCTTTGCTCTTGAGAATACCTAGAGGAGAAATGGCTGGCTTATCTGGTAAATTCATGTTTTCCCACTTCTTGACCAAGGTATCTCTGTGTAACATTAATCTTCTATAAATAGCTTTTGAAGTGGACAATTATTATAAAAGCATTCTTTGCTTATCACAGGTGTATATTTAACTTTTAAGAAATTTTCAAAGTAATTTCCAAAAGGGCTATGGCATTTTACATTCCCGCCAGTTGAGAATAAGATTTCCGGTGTTCCACGTCCTAGTTAACACTCACTCTTGTCAGTCTTTTTAATTTTTGCCATTCCAGTGTGCATGTGTTACTACCTCATTGTGGTTTTAGTTTAATTGGCATCTCCAGGTGACTAATAATGTTGAGCATCTTTTCATGGGCTTATTTACTCTTCATCCATATGTCTTCTTTGGTAAAATTTTCATCAGATGTATGTGTTGTAAGTATTTTTTCCCAGTCTATGCTTGCCTTTTTATCTTACCAATGTTTTTTGAAATGTAGGGTGGCAGGGAAGGCAGTAAAAGGTGATTGGACTCTGGGTGTATTTTGAAGGTGTAAGACGTGCTGATGAATTAGATATGTAGTATGAGAGAATCGGAGGGGCCAGGGTTTTTGGCTGAGCATTTGAAAGGATGGGGTTGCTGATACGGAGAAGAAGACTATGTGACAGCAGGTTTGTGGAGGAGTATGAACCTAGAGATGTGGGGGCAATCACTACGAAATCCAGTATCTCAGTGGCTCAATATGCATGCATATTCTTTGCTCATCTGGCCCATCTGAGTCAGTGGGAAAGTCTTTCGCCATTGTTAAGGAAGGCTAGTTGACTGGAGGCTCCACCATCTTGTAGGCACATCACTGAATCAAATGCAGAGCATTGCAAGTTGCCACAACAGAGAGAGAGAAATCAGCAAATCATAAATAGACTTTTGACTACCTAGGTTGGCATTGATGCGGGAAACCTCTGTTCATATTAAATAGGAGGGGCGGGAGAGGAAGGGGATGTAAAAAGAATTAAGATACATTTTGTACATACACCAACTTCCCATGATGAATGTAATCATTATGTAATGCAAACACGTACTGCTAACAATTGAAATAAATCAATTGGCCAGAGCAAGTCACATAGTCTTATTAAGTGTAATTTCTGTGCCCCGGAGAGGATAACTGGGTATTGGAGAATATTTGTAATGTCAGCCAATTCTTGTTTAAGATCAAGAATTTATTTGTTTTTTGATGTGTTAAAATGCATGTTACATATCCAAGTATACATGTGAACTAAGAATTAAAGGTATTAGGGTTGGTAGTTCAGAAAGTGGTCTAAACTAAAGGGATAAATCAGGGAGTGAATGGTAATTAAAGCCAAGTTTTGGTGAGATTATTTGGGAAGAGAGCGTAGATAGGAAAGAGAGGTGGTCTCAGGAGTGAGCCCTTGTTCCTAGGTGATGAGGAATAGTCAACAGAAGCAACAGAGAAAGCCTAATTAGTGAGAGGATAGAGTTAGGGAAGTCAGGTGTCCTGGAAACAATGTGAAGAAAACATTTGAAGGAGAATGTGATCAGCTGTGTAAAACTTATGCTGACATATTTTGTGTAAGATGAATTCTGAGAAATAATTATTGCACTGTGCTACATGGAGGTAATTGGTAACCTTGGTGATGTGTTGGGGTAAAAGTTTGTTTGGAGTGGGCTGAAGAAAAAATGGGGAGAGGAGAATTAATGACAGCCTGTTTTGAGGTCATCTGTCATAAAAGGGAAGAGAGAATGGTGCTGTATTTAAATAGGGGCGTGGGGCTAACATTTTTTAAGCATGTAAACGATAGTATGTTTCCATCAGTATGAGAATGGTTCCTTCGAGAGGGAACTATTGATGAGAGAGAGATTGAGAGATGAGAGAAAAAGAGAGACAGAGCGAGAGAGAGAGAGAGAGAGAGAGAGAGAGAGAGAGAGAGAGGCCTAAGTGTGAGGTAGGCTAGCAATGGAGTAATCAATCAAATGAGAGAAAAATGATACAGATTTTTTGCATTTTAATAGACCATTTATTCATGACAATAGGAAGGAAGGCTGAAAGTTTAGATACAGATGCAAATAGGTGGTTAGAAGGAACATAGTTGGAAGGTCCCTCTTGATGACTTAGTAGAGTAAGAGGCAAGGTCAGCAGCCAATAATGATGATGGAGTAGATAATATTAATGTTTGAGAGCAGATCAGAAAGTATGCAGTTGCCATTTAGATGAGGAGAGTTAACTTGAGAGTGTGGTAAGATTGCCAGGAAGCACTGATCACTCAGCTGATTCATTGAAATGTGTATGGTCATTGCATTTGAATACTTTCTCTTAGCCGCATTTGGTTTCTTGGGGGAAGAGTGGAATTGGCAGATAGTTGGATTTAACCAAGGTTTCATTATACCAGATAATTTCAGTTTATCATTAGTAAGAGAGAGAGTTATGGGAATTTTGGTTTAGTTCCTACAATGGTTTTCTTTCTATTACTTTCCAAGAATTGGAGGAAGGAGTCTCTTTGGGTATATTTAGGACCAGTGTTAATTGGCTTAAATGTGTCTTTTATTTCATTCTTTCTATGTGATTTCTTTAAGAGGTCTATAAGCTACATTTATTTAAAGAAGAAAATACCATTTTGTTTTTAAATGTCTTTTGGCAGGAGTTCAAAATTCATCCATTTTCCTGACTATGGGATTGAATTCTTTTGATATGTAATTACATATTAATTCCTTCTGTTTCCTTAATAATG